AATAAAATAATATGCTTATTATATGGAGAGAATGAAAGAGAATAAAAAAATCAAATATAAGATCTACAATAACTGGAAAAAGAATCACAACAACTTAGAAGGGATAAATAGAATGGCTAAAGTTAAATTCAATGAAAAGTTGAGTGGCTGAAAAAGAGAGAGACTGGATTATATATAAATATATATAATCTTTCAGGATGCAAAACAGAGTGAAAAAATCAACTATAGGAGGTTAAAAGACACGGAAGACACAGTGAGAAGTCTGCTACATTTATAAGTGAATTTGCAGGAAGAGAAAATAAAGAGACCAAAATCAAGACAACAATATCTGAGAATTTCCCAAAATTGATTAAAAACTTCAGTCTTCAGATTCAGGAAGCTCAATAAATTCAAGCAGGATAACAAAAAAATTCAAATGTAAGCATATCATAGGAAAAATGCAGAGCTTAAAAGTGACCTTAAAACAATCAACATGAAATAATAAAGATACATCATTTGAAATTAAGCTAACCTTTTTCTTTGATAAAGAAAAAGAGAAAGTGGACTGACATACCATGAGAAGAAAGCAGACATGGGCTTATGCAACATAAGACACAAATGATGTCTTTCATTACCATCATTAAAGTGAAGAAAAAAAACAGCTGGATGCTTCAACAAAAATGATTATAAATTAGATTATAAATTAGCTAACTAGCCCTGGCTGATTTGGCTCAGTCATAGAATGTTGGCCCTCAGACCAATGAGTCACAGGTTCGATTCCAGCCAAGGGCACGTACCTTCATCCCCAGCCCTGGTTGGGGTTGTGTGGGAGGCAACCAGTCAATGTGTCTCTCTCACATTGATGTTTCTCTCTCTCTCCTTCCTTCCCACTCTATCTGAAGAAAAACAGAAAAATATCCTCGGGTGAGGATTAAAAAAAAAAAAAGCTGCATCAGATAAAATAATGTGTACCTAAAAAGGATGAGGCCATTTTTGTGAGGGTCATACTTGCTTGGTGACAGATAAGCATTATGTGAATTATTTATTAAAGATTTCCCATTTCCCACAGTGTCCTTGGCTTGCTAAGTTTGCTTTCCTGACATCAAAATGATTTCAACATTAAGTTAAAGAATGAAAATGTGAACTATTTTTTAATCCTCACCCCAGCATATGTTCCTTTTTTAAAAAAAAAAAAAAATTGATTCTAGAGAGAAGAAAAGAGAGACAGAGAGAGAAACATTGATTGGCTGCCTCCCATACATGCCCAGATTGGGGATTGAACCTGCAACCTAGGTATGTGCCCTGACTGGAATTGAGCCTGAGACCCTTTGGTGTACGGGTTGACACACCACACTAACCAAGACTGAACAAATACTTTTAAAATACCATACATAGTATGAATTAAATAGGGGGAAAATGAGGCAGAAGTTTTTCTGGCATTCAGCTAGACTTTCATCAGTATGAATTAGAATAGTATCAGTTGGCTTCTAGAGGATCATAAAGTTTTACACAGTGTCTCACAAATGGAGTTGCATATAAGTCATCCTGTTAAGTCACTGAAACTTTTCACATTTTAGTTCAGGGACCTCTTCCCCAACGCATTTTAGAGATTGTAAGGTCCCTCCTTCACCTGCAAGCCCATTCCCTGTGGCTTCTGAATCATTTGTGATGAAGGCAAAAAGTAGATTATGAGTTTTTATTCTACTCAAGAATGAATCATTGTTTTAGGTCTATACTTAAGTATACCAAAGTGTAGTCCTTCTCATAATAGCTACAAGATAATGATGGTAATGATATTATTATTATACGTTGGTTTTCTAATTCTAATTTTAGGCAAGAGTGGGTGGGTGGGAGTTCCCATGTTCCCTGGGAAATAGTTTGCTTGTTTTTACAAGACAGAAGAGTCATGAGATAGATGGCGCTTTTGCTTACCTGACTTTGAAAATTGTCCTTCCTTACTGCCTTGTTTAATTGGCAAGCTTGGACCCTTGGTACAGATGCCTTCCCAAATCAAGTCTGCTACGTCCTTTTGACCTTCAGACTCTGTGATTTGTTTGCCTTCAAGTGACTCCTCAAACTGGAACCAGGGTAATTTTTTTAAGCTCAAATTTGATCTCACTGCTTTCTTGCTGTAGTACCCCATAATTCTCAGAATCCATACTCATGAACTCTACTACAAGGTTCTTCACGTTCTCAGCTCTGCTTTACTCTCTAGCTGCCTCTGGTGCAACACCCTCTGCATGCATTCCACACATTCTAAAACCCCGTTAGTTCTCTATTAGAATGCATCTTAATCTCTGTTACCTAATCCTCATGGCCTAAAGCATGCCTCCCTTCCATGGCCCTTCTCCTCACCTATCACAGTTATCCTTCAGATCTCAGTTTCCATGCCACTTTCTCTACAAAGACTTTTGAATTCTCAATATTGGTATACAAGATCTCTATATTTAACCTCACTGTCATACTTACCCTATCATATTTTAACTGCCTGCCACTTCTTCGAAATTTCCATTAGTCCAATAAAACTGAGTCATTTCACTTTTGCAACCCTCATAACTAGCACAGAATCTGACACATAAGCAGTACTCAGCACTCAATAAATATGTCAAATCAAACTAAATGCTGGTAGCACTAATTTTTCTTTTAGATTGCTTAGTGTGGCAATTTTCATCATTTTAGTGAGTAAAAAAGTACATTTAACAGTAAAAAATTCATTTCTCTTAAGAACTGACAAAATGTTTCAATGCTAAAAGCATGTATCCTTCAACTCAGCAATTCTAGGCATGCATCCTAAGGATTCAAAAGTGTGCAGGTACCTGGACAAATGCAAGTGAAGAATGTTGTGGCTGCTCATTACAACATTGTTCATGATGGGAAATGCCTATTTAAAATAATGAGATTACATAATATAGATTACATATAAAATCATGTGTGTGGTGGGGGAGAGATGAACCACAGAACTTATATGCATGTGTGCATGAACAATGGACATGGACAACAAAGCTGGGGACAGGGCGGGGAGGGAGAGGAAGGGAGGAATCAGTGGGGAAAAAAGGAGAAACATCTGTAACAAAAATTAATTAATTAAATTTTTTAAAAAATCATGTGTTTGTGAGTGTGTGCATGCCAACATCCAAAAAAATAGAGAAGGATTTGAAAAGTTTACCAAAATAAAAAACAAATTAGTTCTGTAGAATGCAATACCATGTGACTTAATGATTTTATAAACTCCTAATTCTCTTTATAAAGATAAACTTACTTCTGTTTATAAAAAGAAAAGTTTCTTTTCTAGGTGGACTATTTCAAATGATTTTCCCTGAATATCTGCGGTAGGTATTATGACTCATTGTTCCTTCTGTTCCCTTCTCTAATATAATATTTAAAAAATCAAAAGAAGTTAAATTTAATCAGTATGCTTATTTGTATTATTTTTACCAACTTAAGAATCCAGTTATCAAAACTTTTTGATTTCAATAATGGTCTTACTGAATAACCTCAAATATTTTAGGAGTATTTTTTTTTTTTAATAGAGTAGATTGAGTTCAGAAGAGAGGATGAAGCATGATTGAATGCTTGCTTATCCAATGCTCACATTTTTCTATTTGCAAAACAGATCATAGGATGCATTCCAATTTGTACTAATTAATAAGTCTATTACCATAATGTCAGTATTGAAACTTTAAGCAAATTTCTACTGTAATTTTATTACCTATCAATATGGATAAATAAATCCACTGTATTAATTTGATAAACTTAAAAGCTCATCTCACTGAAAAACATTTTATTCAAATTTGATCTCACATATCAAAACAACACATTTTGGGAAGTAGGCTGATATAAGCTTCTGCTCTATGTCCACTGTGCCATTAAGAAGGTGTTTAGAGTGAATACAAACCTCTACATTTTTTAAAGCTCTTTCCTATTCTAGGAGCCTTGGGGGGAAGGAGATGGGGAATACTTCAGCCAGTAAACAAGACAATGAGAAGAGAAAAGGAAGGTTTTATAATTTTTCAACAGTAAACAGTAAAACTCCAAATTTAAAGGAAAAGAAAAATAGTTTCCCTTCCTTTCTAGATACCACATACACTATACAGTAAAAAAGTATTTGGCTACAACAGGCACCCACAGCAGGGGCCATCAATTGTGTGTTCTGACTTTTGCAAAAATTTTAACCTTCATTGTGGGCTTAAAGATTTGCTCTAAATTAATCTGCAGATTCTCTACTTCTAGAACTCTGGCTGTTATTTAGCTAAAAACAAGCTGCACACTCAGAGACATTAGTGACTAGATGCAGAGCTGACTAATGCCCAGGCTAATGCTGCAGAGAAGGCCAGTTTTTCTTTTCCGTAAGTCTACGTAGACTTAACCTTTCTGTGGGTTTCCTATTCTGTTACCACCTGGCAGACCAACAGGACCAGAAAATTTGCTTGAACTGTGCTCGACCAAACCTTCAAGAAAATAAGGACAAGATGTGAGCCAGGAAAAGCACTTTGGAAACTACTTGCACCTAATAAAAACATCTTTAATTTAGCTAATGTGAAATCCAAACTAGTTCACTCCAAATGGAAAAGATGCTTTATTTATATTTATGTGAGTTCCTAATTTAGGCTTGATTCATGCTTCATGAATAACAGCTACCATTTCATAGAATAAGGTGCACATTTGGCCTTCATGTACCCCCACTGCATTTTGTTGAACTAATATGAGATAGTGGCAAGATTCAATATTTGCCCTTCATTCTGTCAATAAACTAATTTTTTTTAATGGAGTACATTCATTAAAAAATTATAATCAGTAAAGTAATATGATCAAAATTTCACATGGTTACTTTTTATCTTTTTCTCTATTCCAAAAATGTTCCAAGTTAATAAGCACATCTAGATACACTATCTCATTTTGTCCTCATATCAAACTCTAAAGGGTTTTTATTTTTACAGGTGGGGATTGGACAGAGGAAACAGCATATGCAAGTATAATGAGGCAAGAAACAACAAAGCACATGAGGTAACACTTTAGCTTACCTGGTGGATAGTGTACAATAACTAGAACTATGAAGTATAAACCTGGGAGAATAAAAAGGATATATTTTACACATACTACACCTTCAGCACTGAAACAAAAGTGTTTCGATATACCAGTTAAAGACTGTAAGAAAACAGTGGGGACAGATGAAAAGTATTTTCAATGGAATATAGTTTAAAAGCAGTTCTAAAACTGGAGCACATATCAGAATCACCTGAGGGCTTGTTAACACACAAATTGCTGTGAAAATTTTTTTTAGTTTGACAAAGTTCTATTTGCTTATTTTTTCTTTTGTTTCCTTTGCCTGGGAAGGCATATCCAAAAACATATTGCTAAGAGTGATGTCAAATGGCTGACTACCTAGTTTTCTTCTAGGAGTTTTATGGTTTCAGGTCTTACATTGAAGTCTTTAAACCATTTTGAGTTTACAGGTGTAAGATAGTGGTCTAGTTTCTTTCTTTCTCTCCCTCCCTCCCTCCCTCCCTCCCTCCTTCCTTTCTTTTTTGCATGTATCTGTTGTTTTCCCACCACCATTTATTAAAAAGACTGTCTTTACCACATTGTACATTCTTGCCTCTTTTGTCAAACATTAGTTGGCCACATAGCTGTGGGTTTATTTCTGGGATCTCTATTGTGTTCCACTGATCTGTGTGTCTGTTTTTATGCCAGTACCATATTGTTTTGATATAGCTTCTACTATAGACATCAGGTAAGCGTTATACCTCTAACTTTGTTCTTTCTCAATATTGTTTTGGCTATTCTGGGTCTCTTGTAAGTTCCATTTAACTTGTATTATTATTATTATTTTAAAAAATGTTTTTTCCTTTATTGATTTTTAGAGAGAGAGATGGAAACATAGCTGAGAGAGAACATTGACTGGCCGCCTCCTGCATGCCCCACACTGGGGATTTGGCCCACAACCTGGGCATGTGCCCTGACCAGGAATCGGACCGGCAACCTTGTGGTACATGGGTCGATGCTCAACCACTGAGCCACACCAGCTGGGCAGGATTATTTACTGTAATTCTGTAAAAACTGCCATTGGTATTTTGATAGAAATTTCACTGAATCTGTAGATTGCATACAAAACACTAATTTGAAAAGAAACATGCACCTCTATGTTCGCTGCAGCATTATTTACAGTAGCCAAGATACGGAAGCAACCTAAGTGTGCATCAACAGATGAATAAAGAAGATGTGAGGTATATGTACACACACACACACACACACACACACACACACACAAAATGGAATATTACTCAGTCATAAAAAGAATGAAATTTTACCATTCACGACAATATGGATAGACCTAAAGAGTATGCTAAGTAAAATAAGTCAGACAGAGAAAGGCAAATACCATATGATTTCACTTATAAGTGGACTCTAAAAAAGAACATAGCAAACAAAACAGAAACAAACTCATAAATAGAGAACAAACTGATGGGTGGTAGATGGTAAGGATGTTAGGGGGATACGTGAAAAAGGTGAAAGTAATTAAGAAGTACAAATTGCCAGCTATTAAAATAGTCATAGGGATGTAAAGTATAGCACAAGAAATATAGTCAGTAACATTGTAACAGCCAGGCACCATGTCAGAAGGGTACTAGACTTCTCAGGATTATCACTTTGTAGTGTATATAAATGTTTAATCAGTTATACACCTGAAACTAATATAATATTGTATGTGGAATATAATAAGAAATTTAAACAATTTTAAATAAATAAATCAAATATACAATTATATATGTAAAATACCCACTCAAATTGTTATGGGAAATTTTAAGCCAGAAAAGATTAATGCTGTTGTATTAATATTAAACACCAAAACACCCCAGTGAGCTGTGTTGAACAGGTATCCATCATAAAACATAGTCAAAACAACTAAAGAGAAAACTGAAACCCTAGCCTGAGAATCAGCAGTATGGGCTAGCACTTCAGCTTTATCTGATGATGTGTGTCATATAATGGTGGTGTGCTTTGAAATCACACATAGGGAAGTTTTTCACAGGTTATAAAGGCACTTGGCTCAACAGTCTGGGCAGGCAAAGTTCTTTTTATACAGATGTAGATTTCTGATGTTTTATTCACTATGTATGTTCGTGACTTCATTTTACTCACATTGAAGGTTTAAATATATTTTAAAATCTAGCATCATCATATTAAATATTCTAATTCTTCCACTAATCATATTTAAATTCATTTAAATATCAACAAATGAATAAAACTTACAGATTGGCAGCTTGTGAAGAATGAACGGTAGGGTAACTGGCATGGCAGATAAAAATGCATGGTTATCTCAAGTGAAACTACTTGGGTTGAAATTTTGCTGTGGTACTTTTTAGCTTTTGAACGTGGCTCCTCAAATCAAAAATGGGTCTAATAGTAGCAACTACCTTGTAGTTGTTGAGAGCATTTAGTGAATTAACATAGAACAATGTGTACATAAGTTGTGCCAAATACATTTATTATTACTTATTACTTGTATATTTTAACTTTATCAACAATAAAATGTTGGTATTACAATTCAAAAGTCAAAATAAATGAACAACCACATTTTAAACTTTCACACTCTCTGGAAAAGGTCTCACTAAGAATGAGAAAATCAACATAAAGGACTTAGTGTAGTCCCTGGGACATAATAAATGCTCATCCTAATAGTAGAATCCTAATAGAAAAACACAATAAGAAATTATCTGATTCCCTTCTAGAATGTTGCCTTCTTATTGCTTGTATACATTGTACCTTCCTTAGACAAACTTTTATATAAATGGTCTGTTTTCTTTTTAACAATATGCTTAAAACACTCAATTTTACCAATCCTAATAGGCCTATATCCTAGTAACGTTTGCCATTCTACTCTGAATTCTAATCAGGTCTTCCTATCTTTTAAAATTTTCTTTTTTTTTCTTTGAGGTACAATTTAGATACAATGTAAGTGTATCTTAAGTGTCAATGAGTTTTGACAGATGTATACACCTGTGTAACCCAAACTCCTAGTGTCTTTATTGTCTCAGAAAGTTCCCTTGTCCTCCTTTGCACATCATCTCTGCCATCCCTGCCACCTCCCCACACCCTGCCCACAAGCACTGTTCTGTTTCCTAGCACTATGGATTAGGTCTGCCTCTTTTGACAATTCACATTAAATGGAACCATACAGTATGTTCTCTTTGGTGTCAGGCTTCTTTCCCTTCAGTACAAAGTGTCTTTTGAGATTCACAGAAAGTATTATGCAGTAGCTGTTTCTTTTTATTGCTGACTACTATTCTAACATACGAATATAGTTTGTTTGCCCATCATCCTATTGATGAAAATCTGGGTTGCTCCTAGTTTTTGGCTATTATAAAGAGAGACATTATTAACATGCATGTACAAGTATTTTTGTGGAAAAGTGCTTCATTTCTCTTTGATAAATACTTGAGCATAAAAACTACCTGGGTACGATGGGTTACAGGGTTCATGTACACATAACTTATAAAAATGGTCAAACTGCTTTGTCATATTTTACACTCTCACCAGTGATTGGTGTTAATAGTTTTGGGTTGCTACATCCTTGCTAAAATTAGATTTCTCCATCTTTATTTATTTATTTATTTTTATTTTAGCCAATCTACTAGGTGTTACAGTGATTTCATTTGTTTCTCTAAATATGATGTTGAACACTTTTTTCATTTGCTTATTAGCCACCTAGTTGTCTTTCTATAAAATGTCTATTCAAGTCCTTTCCCCATTAAAAATTTTTTGTTTTTTAATGGTAAGATTCTAGATGTAAATCTTTATCAAAAGTACATGTCACAAGTATTTTCTACCAATCTGTGGCCACCTGTTTGTTTTCTGAAGGATGTCTTTTGATAACTTGAAATTTTAAATTTTGTGGAAGTCCCTACTATCCCTTTAAAGTACAATTGACACTGAAATGATGTAAAGTGCACTCATATTTCAAATAATCATTTATAGAGTGCAGAAGAATACATGAAGCCCAAATGAGTTTTCAGTAAGAGGCCTCGATCTGTCACTGACTCCTGATCCAGGTTTCTTCCACTGCTCTGATACATAAGACCTGACTAAATGGCTTTCCACTTGTAAGCCTTTTTTCCCCCTGACTTTTAAGACGATTCTTAATGATTCCTCGACTTCTAGTATTTTAGTAATGCTATCTTATCTCTGCAACTATACTGAATATACCCTCCTGGTTGCCAAAAGCTGCTAACAGCTTTGTGGATGTGATTCTTATCTTACCTAACAGTAGGTGCCTGTCAGAGGTTCTACTTTTATAGGCTTGTACTATTAGATTTCTTAAACCTGGTAGCCATCAGGTGAAATCCTGACTGAGCATATCCTGCCCACACATAAGCATTAGTCTTTGTCTTTTTTTGGATCATGGTAGAACCCCAGTCAGTGAGTAAATGTGGTGAAAAAGGAAGTGCCGTCTTTATTAGGCAGTGATGAATGAACTGAATACTGAAATTTAAACCGGTAATAAATGGTGCTGCCTAGACTTTATTATTTAAAACAATATATCGCCCAGCTGTTAACTTACTCAAACCTTAAATCAAGCAAGAGCTTACATCTCTAGTCTGGTACCTTCTCAGGGAGAATGGACTGGAAAACGCATTGTCAACTGACACTTTTCACTCTGCTACTAAAATACTACGATTCTTTATGGGCTTTTACATATTTATAGATTTTTATCAACATACTTATATTTTCAAACTGGGCTGGCAACATCTGGCTCCTCACACAGTGTTATTGTATGAAGATTATTTACAGAAACAATAAAATTTAATGTAGATTTGATTTTCAGAATTATAAAAAATGGAATTTATTATACAGAAAGGCTTTGAAAAGACAACTAAGAATAATTCCATTCCTACTGCCTCCAAACATTCCTTCTAATGCTTATTTTGCACTCAAATTATATTCCTTAAAATTACAACTGATCTAATATGATCTTCTTTTCTTCTAATGAACATGATATTCCAGAATGATCCAAGTCCCTAAATTTTTCCTGGGATTAATTTTTGCAACTAGAGCAATAAGAGAA